AGCGAAACAAGGTTTGCGTCAACCGTTTGAACTGAAGAAATTTGGAATTTGATTTCGAATCCACACCTATAGGTGCACCATTATTTTTTCCAGATTCCATGTTACTATTCCAAAAAGAATAAAACTCATCGGTTGCTGCCTTGGGTGGGACCTAGAAAGAGGAACAGATGGATTTAGACATGGATCAACTTGACGAAGTTTGCAAAGTTGTGCAATTTGCATCACTCGTTCTCATTCAATAAATTTGAAATGTGATTTGAAGTCCAATCCAAGGATAAGTTAGAAGATGTAAACATTTCAGACACCCTATGGAAGTCGGTCAAAAAGAAAAGGACACCTCATTAAAGTCCTCTATCATGACCTTAACAAACTTAGTATCATTTGTATAAAATTTAGAAATTTGAAATTTGATTTCGAGTCTACACCCGTAACATTATAATTATTTCTTCTTCCAATTTTTAGAAAAAATTTTGTGATGTGTATCTGTTAGGCTTTCTATTTCAATTAAGTGAAAACTTAATCTTGAATCTTATATTAATCAAAATGATTTAATTAAATTTATTATATATGTATTAAAATTTTTTCATTTAAAAGTTTTCTGAAATTTTTTTAAATCATTAATAAAAATTAAGTTTTCAATCAATTAGACTTAAACATTAAGATTTGAAAATAAGTCATTGAATCTATTCAAATTTTTTCATTTAAATTAAAAATATAAAATACTAAAATTTTTAAACAATAAGTTGAAAAATTGACATTTTCATAGTCAATAACGTGAAAAGCTGGCCATGGATTTTCCACACCTACCTGCACCATTATTTTTTCTAGCATTCCAGTTTACTATTCCAAAAAGAAAAAAACTCACCTGTTACTACCTTGGGTGGGACCTAGGAAGGGGAACTAATGGATTTAGACATAGATAAATTTGACGAAGTTTGCAAAGTTGGGCAATTTGCATCATCGTTACTATTCAATAAATTTGAAATGTGATTTCGAGTCCGATCTAAGAATAAGTTAAAAGATGTAGATGTTTTAAACACCCCATGGAAGCCGGCCAAAAGGGAAAGGACATCTCATTAAAGTCCTCTATTATGACCTTAACAAGCTCTATACCACTTGTATAAAATTAAAAAATTTGAAATTTGATTTCGAGTTTACACCCATAGCTGTAACATTATAATTATTTTTTTGGCCAAAATTTGAAAAAATTTTGTCTAGTGTATCTGTTAGACTTTTTTTATTTCCATAAAGTGGAAAACGTAATTTTGAGTCTTATATTATTGAAAATGATTTAATTAAATTTATTATATTAAGAATTTTTTAGAAAATTCATAATACTCTTAATGCAAATTTACATTTAATATAATAGTTAAATTGCCTTTTTTTTTTTACTGCTATTAAATTTTCATTAATCAAATCTTAAAAACTGTTGAAAAACCTAATTGAAGGAGAACAAGGATCTTAAACATGTTGCCAATCTTTTTGAGTTAAGAGTCACCCTGTAACAAGTAAATCCATGTCTTTGTCCTAAATCTTTAAAGAATTAAAAAATTGAACCTACAAAATTATTTTATCCAACTTGGGCACTCTTTAAAGCCCAACAATACATTGTTAAAGGGCCAAATTCTGCAAAAAAAACCCAAGATCACACTACATTGCGAACGGGCCGGCTCCAAAAGGCCCCTTTTTTTATTTCGGATACTGGCCCTGAAACCCAAATTTCAGTTATCTTCTTTAATACCCACCTTCCACGTTCTCTCTTCACTGCACTGATGGTCGTGGTCGTGCCTCCTTCAACTGCCAACAACAAATACATTCCAACCACGATCTTCCTCTAATTTCCTCCAGGAGAATTATATATTTCATCATCCAGTTGCGTCTAGAACTTGTAATTATTTTTGATTCTTTGCTTCTTAAAGTTTCTCAATTCGTTTCTTCAACTTCGCTATTCAGTGGATGTTACAGTGGAAAACTCATAACTATCAATAGTTTGAGAAAGGGTCGTAGTGGGACACGTGCTAGGATCATGCTCATGCAATTCGTATATAGAAAACAAAATCAACAAAACAAGGTAATGTTTCATTCACTCCCTCTTTCTGTTTTTTTTTTTTTTTTTTTTTTGGGGGTGGGGGGGGGCGCCAAATCCCCTCATTCTGTTGAATTCTAAAATATAATACACTGAATTGATGCTAACTTAAATTCTTCTTCTCGCTCCGCTTTATCTTCATCTTCTGTCAATTTTACTCTCTGCAGTTTTGGTGCACTTATTTCCTCAAAGAAAATCTTCATACTTGACAATCCTTCACAATCACCTCTTCTAAGGACCGGAATTCAAACTTGCATTTCATTGAGGAAAACCTTGCAAGTGCAGGCAGATCACGGAGTTGCAAATGCTTGAGTTCAGTAAAGGTAATTCCATCTTTCTTTCTCATCATCCTCCAAGCACGCGATAATTTCTTCTACCATTTCACAATTAGTTATACTCATTCTTGTGAGATGCACCAAGCTTTTAGCAGTTGTGTATCTCACTAAATTTACAAGTCCATGACATTTGGACACTTCAAGACTCTGTAGATTATTGAAAGATACAATGGATGGCACTAAATTCATTAATTTGCTACACTCAAGCGTTTCTAGAGTTCTCAAGTTGTAGAAATTAAACTGGCTCTAGATCACATTCTTCCTTCCAAAGATGTCTTAGCTCATTAAGTTTAAAAAACTTTAATTCACTTATCCTAGTGGGTGCATTTGCAGGTCTTTCTTCACTACTAAGTCTTTCACATTGGAATATTTCATCGAAGGTAGCTTCGCTCACGACAAGCTTCTCAAGATTGGGAAGTGACTAGAAGAAGAAAGGAGGAGGAGCTAATTGCTCTTGAATGCGGGTGAGTTTAAGAACTTTTAGTTTGGGAAAATAGTCCCCTGGATATTGTCCATTCCATATCTCCCTCAAACCATCATTCTTTTCAAGTTTCAGAACTGTACTTACCTATGTTTTATTGAACTATGTTGTTCAAAGTTTTCAAGAATACATGATGTACTTATCTGTGTTTTATTAATAGTCTCTCTCGCTCTCTTATTGTTATTTAGGTGAGAATGGGATGGTAGGAAAGGCACAAAAGCATTATAAAAGGCTGAAGCACTCAAGAAGGTTTCAATTTCTGAATTTAATAGTGTTATTTTTGTAGATTGATTTTTATTAACATGCACCATTTCCTTCTCCTTGGTATCACTTATTCGTGGATAATTGTTTTTCCGTATATGTTCAGCTCTTTGCTAGACAGGAGCCTGTTCTGGATTTCTAAAAGTACACTGCTGCTGATGTTTGCATTGTGAGGTCTATTTTTCATTCTTTCAGTTTCACAGAAGGAAAACTACAATAAAAACTAGATAAGAAAACTTAGACACACTTGGACCTTATTGGGAAAATATGAATTCGATTTGCATAATTAGTGCATGAATGGTCCCCTGTCATAATTTGATTTTAGTTTAATTTTCTTTTAGTCCATTTATATGCTTATATTCTATCTGCTCTAATCTTTTTGATTCAATTTTGTTTCAGATTGATCAAAAGCTGCATGTTTGTGATATTTGTGGTGCATTTTTGAGTGTTTATAACAGGTACACTTTTTATCTTCTACTTCTTGATCATAGCCTTTTTATCTTCTAAGGGCTTCAAAAAGTTAGTGTTCGGGGTTTCAAGTGCTTCAGCTTTTGATCCGGTTATTATACCTCCTTCTCACCAGCAGGCTTTCGGGCCTAGTTTTATGAGGATAACTTTTGCAGCTAAATAGTGTGTCTTTTTTTGTTTATGTACTTGTAGATCATGCAACTATTAGATAATAAATATTTGGGAAACTGTATAATCTATGATGCATACTACCACAGTATATATGTATTTTTAATTTTTTTTCTTTTTTTAAGTTTCTAGGTCAAAGTGATTTGATTTTTCTTGTTCCTTTCAGTGACTGACATTTAGTAGATCATTTTGGAGGCAAACTTCATTTAGACTATATGCAAATCCGTGATAAATTAGCAGAACTTCAGGTACGCTGATTTACATGCTTAGTATATTCTGACTGTCTATGGTGGCTGTGCTTTAAGTGTTACATTATAGTGCCTAGCATCAAAGATGTTGGTGTATAAATTACCTGAACTATCCACTTACTATGTCTATTATTATTTTTTTTTAAATAATCAGAACTTTATTTGAATGCTGTTACCTAATGGAATCTAGTAAAACAGCAAATTAATACATCTTTTCTGGATTCTCTTATGTTTGTATTGTGAATATGGTGGTCAGGTGCTGGTATAATGTTTCTCATTCTTCTATACAGATTTTCAGTTAGTATCATCTGTGAATTAGAGTTTTTCTGACCTCAGAGAAGAATCGTGTCTCCCATTTTTCAATTCTTTTGATTGTTTGTAGATGCTGGACTTTAAAACATAGTATTTTCTACCTCTCTGTGCATATTGGGCTTAAAATGCATCAAATATGAAATGTCTTGGTGCTCAACCAATTTTGATAGATTAGTTTGTTCTGGTGAAAGAATGAAAGAAAAAGGAAACATGAAATCAAATAGGAGATAAGTACAAGAAAGGAGTTTGTTGTAAGTAATTTAAGAAAAAAAATGAGCTTTTCATATGTTTAAAATATGTGACAACAAATCTAACGAAGGCCTGGTTTGGTCAGGGTAAGTTGTCTACTAATTATGCCTACCACCATTAGAATTCTTTCCTAATGGTCCTTGTGGCATGTTATATTTAGCTAAATTGAATTGGCATTTAGCTTTTTGAAAAAGCATTCAGTAGTATTTGCTGATTATTGTTTTCTCACGAAGAGAGAAACAATAGCTGCAAACCTGACCGGTATGATGACAAGAGGTAATCCTTACGTGGTTTCTTTACCTTTTTCCTTTTGTTACCTTTGGGTGGTGGGGGAGGTGTTGTTATATCCCTTTTATTGGTGGTGTATATAGATCAAAAGTTCTACCTTTTTCTTTACCGGTATGAGGCGTGACTGGTGCTAGATGCATGAATGCTGCCATGAAGAAAATGAATACAAAACTGTTCTTAGGTAAGCCAACTTATATAGGGGAGTAGCATTCCTCACTTAAGTTATTTGACAGTGTCATGTGGTTGTATCAACATGTTTAGGAGGGTAATTGTTGTTCTTTGGTACCTAGAGACTAGGAATTAAATTATAAACTTGTGGTTAAAAGCACAAGTAATTTTATCATTAGATCATATAACTGATGGTTAAGAGGGTATTTGTTACTTGGTGATTTGTGTTTGGTATTCGGTACCATTGGAAATGTAAGTTTGCTGAATTTTACCATTCCAATTGCCATTTCGGCAATTTTTCAGTTAAGTATCTAAAAGGAGAAATAATATAAAGAGATTGAATTTTATTTTCTGCTTTGACGGCTTGATATTAAGTTGGCAAGAAATTTGAGGATGCTGGAAACATGATTCACACAATTATATATAGATTCAGTTTCATCTAATGGTAATCATGCATGATTGGGTGTGAATTGAGATGCATGAAAGAATTTTGTATGAGAAGAAAAATTTTGGTAATTCTCAATCATTTGCTGTGTAAAAAGCATTATATTAAATTACATCCAAAAGTTAAAATGGGAAACTGCGAGGAGTGTAAGCTCATCCGTTGGTACGAAACATCACTTAAAGAATCATCTATAGTAGGAAAGGAGTGTGCTCTAGGTATGCAAATGCATATCTCCAATGCGCAAAGTGACTCAATCTGTCTTATCTTGTGTAACCTAGCTCGTGTAGCCTATTATCAAACACAAAAGTTAAAAAATGTGAATATCCAAGGGATCTAGGCATCACTAAAGAAAAAAAAAAAACACCTATGAGGCACCAAAATCTGTTGTGCATGTGAAAGCTAATATTTAAATTTAAAATTATGGTTTGCCTTACGTGTAAAAGAAAAGAATATAGCAAACCCATCAAAATGAACAAACCATATTCTAATTAAAAACAAAGTATAGCAGAACTCAATTAATAATCATCAAGTAACATTTGTCTTCGGAATACTCTTTTTTTAAAACACAATAAACAACAGACAATTTAATTTTGGATGCCAAGCAATGTGGCAACTCTGCAAAGATTATATTCAACTTATGAGTGTACCATTCAGCCCTGATAGGAATTAAGAAAGCAACCTCTCAATATATAAAGTTCCATATATATAAGAAATGTTCTTTTATTATCCAAGCATATATAAGAAAGCAACATTTGTTTCTTGAAGGATATTCTCTCTTTAATACTATAAAACAACACATGAATTTAAAGGCTTTGCACGAATTTAATAATACATAAAACAAGTCGCACAAGTGTACGAGAAATAGAAAAGAACTGTCTTCTTTTTCTTTATTTATTTTTTTTTATTGGGTAGAAAAAAGGGATCAGTTTTAGTTGGTGAGGTAACATTCTGGGCACCAAGCAATGTGACAACTTCACATCCAACTTATGCGTACACCATTCAGACCTGCAAGGAACTAAGCAAGCAGCCTTAATATGCCTCCATGCATGTTTACAAGAGATGTTCCTTTATCAAACAAGTGTAGAGATGATGGAAGCATAAGACCAACTCACCATCAAACTTCACTTGGAAAAGACATGATCCACAATTTCTTCGATCTCAGTTTTCAGAGTCACATTGACTCTGTAGACACAACAACAAAACATTACTGGAGTTGAAAAGAAAATTTGTAGCAAAAATTTTCCTCTTCAAAATCATGATCTATGAAGCATTCATTCATACCCTTCTAGTTTTCTCTGTTATTTTGAAGACTCTAAATGAAGATTTGTGTAATAAAAGGAAAAGAGAAATAGATAGAACTCAAAAGAAGTAAACCTAAGGCAATATTTTGAATTAATGCATACCTTTTGTATGAACTGTAGCTGTATGGTTGAGTTTAGGTTGCCATCCCAAAAGCCTTCATCTTCATCCCTAGTCAATTTTACTTTCTGTAGTTTTGGCGTTCTTATTTCATCCATAGAGAAAGTCTGCATACTGGGACAATCCATCAAAATCACCTCTTCCAAAAATGGGAACTCAAACTTGCATTTAATCGAGCAAAAGCTTGAAAGTCTAGGCAGACCACAAAGTTGCAAATACTTGAGTTGGCTAAAGACAATCCCATCCTTCACTTCATCCTCCAAGCATGTGACCATTTCCAACAAAGGCAGTGGAGTGGCCTTTTGAGCTTGTGATTGGCTGACACCAGGTTCTTGAGACTCATGTATCTCTTCAAGTGAATCACAATTCCATATTTGGAGATTGCCTAGTCTCTGAAGCGTTTCCACCATACTAAATGGGAAAATATTCATTAACTTTTCACATGAAACCACACTTACCAAAGTTAGTTGGCAAAAAGAATCTACTTCAAGTTGGTCATTCCATATCTTATTCAAACTCTTCACATGTTCAATTACCAAACGCTCTAATTTGGGGAATGCCACCTAGAGATTTTCACAATTCAATTAAAATTAAATATAATCATAGATGTAATGGAATGAAAAATATTGGAATCTATTTTTTTTTAATGTAAAACTTTATGAGGATTAGAAAATAATAATAGCATTTTAAGACATTAAAAAGTGAAAAATAAAGGGAAAAAAAGAGAGAAATCACCTTTGCATCAAAGAGAGAATGTGTACAAGTGTTTTTGACATTTTCAAAACTGGCTATCATATCTCCAAAAATAAAGCTAGAGATGAAAGTCTTCAACACAGGGCACTTGCTTATCTTAAGTTTCCAAAGGCATGGTAATTCCAAGTAATTTCCAGAACAAAATCTTGTGAGTTTTGGAAGGTCTTGAAGTAGTAGGAACTCCAGGTTAGGGAAGAAAATCTTGCACATCTTTTCCTCATCTGTTGATTCTTCTGCAAGTATTACCTCTTTCATCATATTACAATCTCGAATCTCAAGCCAATTCAATGGCTCAAAAGTCTTAACCATGGAGGATGTCAATAGATATTTCAAATTACCACAACCCTCCAAGCACAACTTTCTTAAATTTTGGACACAAGAAGAGATTTCTGGAATTGAATTGTCCAAAATTCCCTGAATGTTATTTGAAGACAGACTCAAAAACTCCAAGTTGGGAGTCTCCACCTGCAAAGATTCTTAGTTAGTCTGTTAATACAAGACATTGTAGGAAGATGACACTATCATATTTGCCTAATGTTAATTGAAGAAATTTTAAAAACTCCAAGTTGAGAAACTCAACCTAATAGAATTTTCATCAAAAAGGTTTTTTTTTTTTTTAATTGATTAAACTAAAAACATTACAAGGATAATCCCAAACCAAGAACTTGAAAACAACATGCAATTATATGAAGTATATTGATATTTTGAGTAGAAAACAGTGAACTCTTTTTGGACTTAACGTTATTGGAGTCAATGCAGGCAAAAAAGAAAAAAAATATATTATTTGGATCAATAATCCTATTTTAAAACTTGTGTAACTTCACATTTTAAGTGGTAGATCTAGATAGGATTCTTTGTTTTCTAACCGTGTATTAAGTGGAACTTGTTTAAAAAGATTCATTCATGAAGCTATAGAAGTGGAGATGGCAACACTGACATGCAGAAAGCAAAGATAAATATACTATAAAACCTTAATTACAATAAATAAATATAAAAACTAACCATGTTGCTGTAAAAATAAAGAAAAATGGAAAAGAAAAAAAGAAACTAACCTTACTGCTAAGGAGGTATTGAGATTCCCCTTGGTTGTGCTCTTCTAAGGATGCAGAAGCAGCACATGTGACCATCTTTGGGCAGTCCTTTACAATAAAATCACTTAATCTTGGAAGCTCAAGACTATGACTTCCCACATAGAAACTTGTCAAATCTATACAAGACTCTAGATTGATCAACCAAAGATGTGGGAGTTCCATTTTATTTTTCGCTCCTCCCATTATCACTTGTTCCATTGTCCCACAGTTTTTTACTATTAATTGCAAGAGTTGCACAAGGCCCATGACCATGGAATGGGTTAACAGGTACCTGAAGTTGCTACAATTATAAATTTCAAGCACCTCAAGCTGTCTGAAATCTAAGAGTTCTTGAGGATTCTTGATATGCCATGTTTCCATGAACTTCGGAAACTCTGATAGCATCAAACTTTGTAATCCAACAAATCCAACCTGCACAAGTGCAAAAAGGCAAGGCTAGTTATATATATAACACAATCCAAAAATAAATCGAACAATTATTTATAAAAAGAATGACTGGCTTCAAATATTTAGAAATCAATGCATACCTCTTCCATGTACATTCGTTGTATGGTGGTATTAAGGTCACCTTCCCAATGGTACTTGTCCTCATTTTCAATTGATACTCTTTGTAGCAATGGTGTATTTAGGTCTCCCTCACTAAAGATTTTCAACTTGGGGCATTGATAGACGGTTACCTTTTCCAAACATGGGAATTTGAAGGTGAAATTTTCTGAACAAAAGCTTTCTAATCTTGGCAACTCTCGAAGTGTCAAAAATTTTAGTTTAGTAAAAGTGATCATGATATAATCTTGCATTCCAACTCCTTCATTTCCAACTATTTCAGTCAACATGGTGCAGTAATCTACAGTCATACTTTCTAACTGCACCAGGCTTTGCGCTGTTGAGACTGAAACCAATTATATCATCCCTTTGCAACTTGTTACACTCAAAGTGGTGAGATTCTGGAAAGATGAAATTGAAGTTGATAATATAATCAAACTATCACATTTGGATATATCAAGAGTTTCAAGATTTTGAAGGACACTTGATGAGTCATGGCTCCATATATGCCTAAGATATGGAAGGTACTCCAGATTTAATGTTTTAATCCTTGAGAGAGTCTCAATCTCAATGTGTTTCTCTTGTTCTTCAACTTCTCCTTTTGAAGGGAACAACTCTTTAAAATAACAATTTCTCACAATGAGATTTTCTAGATAGCAGAACCCTTTTAGGAATCCAACAGGTAAAACATCTAATTCATCATCAAGATAGTCTCGAATTTGAAGAACTTTACCATTGAAAATGATGTCTTGTTTGGATTCATGCTCACATATCATTGCAATGTCATCCCTTACTAATGATAGTTTCTCCAATTGAGGGATAATCTGGAAAGAAATAAAATTTAATAAAATAAGATATTGTGATTTTATGTATAAAAAAGGAAAAAAATTATTAAAAATATTAAGTGTATTTTTTCATATGGAAACCAAATACACTCTTATTACTAATTGAATTGAAAAATGCAGTATAATGCATTTTTGGGTGGAAAGAATGTAATGACCCTGCCCTCAATTGTATAGTTCATAAGGTTCTATTCTTAATTCTCAGAACTTACATGCATAAAAACAGAGTTTCGGGTTTGAATGTCAGTTTTCAAAAATTTTTATAATGGAATACAACTATCTAGTCTATTTGGGGTGGTAATGACATATGGCAAACATCCAAACATTTTACATTTGCATGTAAGCATGAAGCACTTGTATTTGCATAATTTCTAAACTAGAAACCGAAGGAAGAGAAAAGGGCTTCTGGCTATCTGTTTTGTGAGACTTGGTGTTTGATATCTGTTTCGTTAGACCATGATTATTATAGTTTCTGCTATGTGGTTTATACTATTGTTTGATTCTATGGAGGGTTTGGAACCTATGCTAACTGCTACTTAATTGTTTGGGCTCTAAGCTGAGCAACTTTGATTGATTGGACTTCTATGCAGTAGGGAAGCTATGGTTGGCCTTGATTAATGTGAAGTGCACCACAGGTTGTTAACTGGACTCCATAAACTCTGTGATTGTTTGTTTTTCTAGATTGTTTAGTAATCTGATTTTATTTGTTGTGTTTTGAAGTTAATCATTTAGTGTTCAAGTTATGAAGAACCTATTTAAGAGATTTGATCTATATGGCTAAGCTATGCCTGCCACCTTCATATTCTATCTTATTTGGATTCTGGTTGTAAGTTTTAACATGGATTATTTGATTGTTCATGTTAATTTGACTCAAAGCTCACTTACAGTTTTAGGTTATGACTTATGCTTACTGAGCTTCATAACTCATGTTCGTTTCTCTAACCATTTCAGGTTAACTAAGTGCGGCTAGCATTTTTGGAAGTCTAGAAATTTCTTATGATTTATGCGAAGGTAAATTGTATCTATTCAACATTGCATGTGACTCTATTTTTTTATTTTTTTTTTATTTTTTTATTTTTTTATTTTTTTTTATTTTTTTTTATTTTTTATTTTTAGGTTTTTTAAGTTTTTCTTCAATCCTGGGTATAATCAGAAGAGAGTTCTTCAGTTAGACCAATCGTTACACTTCGTAAATATATTTTGAAATGGACTTCCCACTAAATACATGTATAAATGATTTGACTTTAAAATAATATGCCTTCCACATTTAAGATACTATCTCTTAACTTATACTTCTTGCTTACTATACGTAGCTTCTAAAGCTCAACATTTAGTACCCTTATTTGCTAAATCATATTCTGCTTTCAAGCTATAAGAGTTCTTACTTTTAACCAGATTTTCTAACCATAACAGTAATTGGTTTGCTCTACAGAATTCAAAAGCTAAAGTTAGCACTTCTTCCCTTCGTGATTCACTAAGTAGCTAGTTTTTCTTAATCTATAGATTAAGATTTTTTTTACAAGGCTTCGATAGCCATAATAAAAGAGTTTTTAACTATGTTTTTATTAAATGAACACAAGCAGATTTATCTAACAAAGAGATTCCAAACAATAATGACAAAGTTAAAGAAATACTAGCAATTATCTTCAAGTAGTCTCAAAAACAATATTTCATTAAAAAACCACTTGAGTCTCACTAAAGCAAGTTATTGCGTTTTTCCAATGTGATATCATTCTCCATGTATGGTGATTATTAAAAATTAATGACTTGTTACACGATATATACTTGGAGTAAGGTGTTCTTTTATTATTTTATTTTGGAGAGAGGCTCTGATTTTTTTTTTTTTTGGTAGAAGAGAGAGAGGCTCTGATTTCACAATAGAAAGTTATGATATGAATCATACCTTTTTTGTAGAGAAAAGTGGTAGTCGTACAGGGAAGTCAAGTTGCCCACACCGATCTGCACTCTTTACTCGATTGAAATGGGAAACATAGAACTCTTTTAACATTGGCCACATTGTCGTGTGCTTCCTTGGGTAGAAACATTGGAGTCTTGGTAGCGCCTCAAGCTTAAGACTTGTTACTTGAGGAAATTCAAAGCTAACAATTGCTTTAGCTTCTTGTTCTCCCATTGTGACAATTTCCTCCACCCCGCACCGGTATAAATGTAGCTTTTGAAGTTGCAAAAGGCTTTTGCCTATTGAAGTTGGAAACAAAATTTTGAGACTCCCACAATGGCTTACCTCGACTGATTCCAGGTTGTGAAAAGTGAGCATTCCTTGGGGATCATTATTCCACACATGCTTCAATCTTGGTAGGTCTTTAATATTCAATTCTCTGAACTTGGTGTCAATTACAGCATGTTTTGGTTTGACATTGAACTCGGCAATTTCAAATATCCCTTCGAGTGAGCCACACTGATATACAGATAACACCTCTAGGGATTTCAAGATTTTTCCCAATATATCAGTAGAAGAAAAAACAGTCGATAGCTTTTCACAATTTTCAACTGTTAATGATTTTAGCCTGCAAAAGGAATCTGCATATAGTTTGTTGTGCCATATCATCTCCAAGTTTTTCAAGTGGGTGATAGTCAACCATTCCAAGTTGAGAAATGTAACCTACATAATGAATGAATGCATCATGCCATTGACAATGAAAGGATAAGGATAATTATTAGTCCCTAAAATTAAAGCTAAAATGAAAGTGAAATAAGAGATATATTACCTGTTCATTGAAAAGCGTCTGTATGTCAGCTATGCAACTTGTGCTTTCAAAATATTTAACTGTGAGTCCCTCCAATTCTGGACAGTTTAGTACTTCCAAATCCTTTAAGGATGGGAATTCAACAATACAATTTCCTAAGTAGAATCCAACAAGGTTTTGAAGGTCTTTTATCCATAGGTAATTCAATTGACGAAAAATCAAATTCTCTTTTTCTTCTGCATTCTTTGTGACAATAATCCCTCTCATCCTCTTGCATTCTCTTATTTCAAGTCGTTCAAGCATCACCAGATCTCTAGCCACGCAAGATGAGAATAAAAATTCCAAATTATCAAAGCCTTGAATGATCAATTTCTTCAATTTCTTGAAACAAAAAGATGTTATTGAAGTGTCCCATTTGATATTAACATTGATCCAGCATAATTGTAGCTCCTCTAGGCTTGGTAACCCAACCTGCATACAATTCATTTTGTAAGAAAAGCTTATCATTTTGTTGATGGATAAGAAAAAGGATGGTCAATGGTGTTAAAAATTGTAGAATGGGGGAGTTAAGCCATGTACTCCTTAACTGTAGTTGGAGCTGTTTGTGGTGGTGTCTTAGCTCCTTATTTCTAGGGAGCCAATTATATGATCAGCACAATTTTGGGGTGGTAGGAAAATCTGAGAGGGAAGTTTGGTCATCACTGTTTTCTGTTATCACTTGGACTGTGTGGATAATGGATATGCAAGATCAAAAGGTTATTTAAAGGGGAGGATTGATCTGCTTGTATGGCTCTCTAATTGATTCAAATTAAAGGAGATCATTTATGTGGAACACAGGCAATGAAGGTGGATGGTTATATGATCTCTTATTCAGATTGGTGTCTTAATCTTGCTATTTGTGCTTCGGGATTAACCAACAGAAGTGGTTAGCAGAGAAACAAAGCAGAAATTGCATCAGAGGCCAATGTGATGGAACCAGGTGAAGGTAATTGCACCATTCCAACGTATTTTGAGTGTGTATTGGTTTTGGCATGCCTTAAATTAATAGGCGCCACTAGTATGTTTGTGCAATGAGATATTATTTGAGATTTGGGTGCCAAGTGAGAATCTTATTTATAAGTAATTCTGTAAAGGATTAAAAGTATTATAAATGAAAAATTCTACTTTTGCTAATAAAAAAATTCATGAATTTAAAACTAAAAAAATATTAAAATGAGAAAAAAGAAGAGATTTTTTGAAGTAAGTTGTGCTAGATTTACTTAATTAAAAACAACATTAAAAACTCCAAATTAAAATACCTTGTCCGAAAAAGATCATTCCTTTTGTGAAGAATTTCTTCCTAATCCAAAGAAACAATGTAACGACAATCCCAAAGCAAAAACATGAGAAATGACACAGAGACATTTAGAATGAAGGATGGCAGTAGACTTTGCTCAAGTTAGTTAAACACTGTCCAATTAACTATTTTTCTTAAATTGAGTAATTTTACTTTTACTTTTAAGTGATGAATTTTTAGGCACAATAAGTAAAGAGATTTACCGGTTCTACATCATAGTTAATAATTAATAATTTTTGTATTTAATTAATGTACTAGTAAGAATTGGTAATTCAGATCGGTTGTTACTCCTAATTAATAGAATATAGTTCAAACAATCCTATTGTGTATATACAATTTATTTTATATAATTAAGAAAACTAAATATATACCATTTCAATGGATTAAGAAAATTAATTATGATATCATTTATGAAGAATAAGCAAACTATATTTACACCTGAATTAAGTCTAACATAACTGAAAAAATTTTAAACACAATTTGGATGATAGAGATGTTTAATTTCTTCGAATATTAAGGGAAAAATTATATAAGTTATGAAGTATCTAATTCATTTTATAATAATAGTTTTTGAGAGCCTTCTATTATTGGTTGTTACTGTGAATTTGCTGCAATTATGGTTCTTTTAGGCACAATTGTTTAAGGTAATTGATATATCTATAGAGGTAATTA